AAGCCACAGCCGCCGCCCCCCCACCCGGAGCCGTGCCGCCAGCCCCGCCGCCTGCGCCGCCGGTCGCAGCACGCCGCCGTTCGCCGCTGCCGCTGCCTAGCGACTCCACCGCCGCTTGTCGTCGCCGCCACCGCGTTCTGCCGTCGCCCCGCAGCGCCCCGCTTCGCCGGAGACGCCGCCGGAGCCGCCAGTCCCGATCCGATCCGCCATCGTTTTTTCAGTTTTAGGTAAAAACCCCGGTTTTTTTTACAAAAACCCTAGATTCGTTTTTTAGATCGGTTTTATTTTTGTCCGGTTTAGCTAAATAGCGGACATTCGTCTGTTTGTTTGTTTTAACGAATGGTGTTCACCCGTTAGCCGTAGACAGCGAACGTTCGTTCGTTAGCCTGTTCGTCAGTTTTTCTTTTTCCAGGGTTTTTCCGCGATTATTTTCGATCGCGATTTCTGCCCTGATTTTCGTTTTAGTTTATCTTTTTGCTTGTTTATCGGAATCAAGTGATTCAAGCGCCCAGATCTTCGACACGAAGCCCTCTTTCTGTTTAACCAACTTGAACAAGATTTTGGTACTGTAAAATTTGACTTTAGTCCAGATTAGTAAACGGAACTTGTTTCTTTCGCAGTTTGAGTTTCGTTGCTTCGTTTGATTTGATTCTTTTTGCAAACCGGAGTTCTTAAGTTGAACTTTCTGGTTAGATCCCTTATTTGAGTTTTACCCATGCTTTTAGATTGAGTGCTTATTGTATGCTTGTTTGTTTGCGATAGAGTACCCGGAGTGCGAAGCGTGCTACTACGAGTCTCTAGGTTTCACGGATCATCAGCAAGGCAAGTAACACTTTGATCATACCTCTTTACTACCCATTTTTATTGCATTAGATCAACCCTCAAACAATTGCATGGTTAGGATCTGATTAACATGTGGGTTTTGGGAAGTAGATGATGAGGTAGAACCTATTGCCATGTTTATTATCAAACCTTTGGGAGTTACTTCTACGTTATGCTTATATTGCTATGCTATGCTCGTAGACGTGGTTTGGGTGAGTGTATCCATGACAGATGTGAGTTTTTGTTAATTAATGGTCAACTTAAGGTGGCTACCTAAATACACATCTGGGTGGATTGCTTGAGGCACCCTGGAGTACCCAGTGGTTGTCAGGGCACCTGGAGAATCCAGTGTTGTCCTAGGATATCCCGGAGTACCCGTGTGATCATCCTATGGTCCACCACCCAGGCTCAAAGGGATCATAAGATTATTCATGCTAGAAACTTCTGTGTGCAGCCACAAGCCAATATGGTCTCTGGCATAGTTGAGTAAGTTGCGTGAAGCTCTTGAAGAGGTAGACTACCAGATGTAGTGGGTTGTAGGTGGTACTGTCTATCTAGAGTAGAGAGTTAATGCATCAGAAAGACTGTGTCTCAAATCTCCGACCATGGATGTATTCAAGTCTTGTGGGGAAAAGTGCGCAAACCTCTGCAGAGTGTACAAACTAATCATGGTTAGCCGTGACCCCGGTTATGGACATCTTGAGTATCTGGTTCTTGGATTATCATGTTGATCTCATCACTCTAAATATAATTTGATTGGGTTTAATAATGATGTTTAATTGGGATTGAGTTGGAGGAACCTTCTCAATGTTTAACAACCACCACGATAGTTAAATAAAATTTATTCCTTTTGTTGTAGGGAAAAATTGGCTTTATGCAAAACTGTAACCATAGAGCTTTCCACCAGCCATATATGCATGTAGTGATAGCATTTATTATGTTCATTTCTCTATCTGTTACATTGCCAGCATATTCCATGTGCTGACCCGTTTCTGGCTGCAACGTTCATGTTGCAAACTTTTCAGACGACGAGTAAGGTGCCATAGGTCGTTGTCTTTCACTCAGCTATGCCGTTGGAGTTGATGGACTCACTTTATCTTCCAAGCCTTCCGCTGTTATCGATTTAGATGGCCTTAAGCCACATTGTTGTATTAAGTTCTCTTTTGAGACATTCGATGTAATAAGTGTGTGATTGAAACTCTGTTATAAATCCTCGAGTACTGTGTGTGTCAGCATTACCGATCCAGCGATGACACGGATGCACAGAGATCAGACTGTTTGAGGTCTGGTCGCTACACATGGCCTGCAGTACATTTCAGATCAGACCCCACAATTAAATTTGCTTATGCATTACCGATTTGCAATGGCTACAAAATGAAGAATCAACAATTCATCCTTACTGAAAGAGCAATAATTTCAATCTCAAGGGCATGTCTTCACCAAAACTTGTGATCTCCTCTCCTATGCACATAGACCCAACAGAATCATCATTCGGTTACCTATGAAAGGGAAGGGTCCTCCTTCGCCACCTTGGTCACGCCGTTGCTCTTCCCATCCATCTCCATCTCCATCTCCATCTCCATCTCCATGGAAGCTAGGTCCTCCTGTCAGTACTGCAGACCAAAACACCACTGGTCAGCTCCAACATTTCGATTCCTTGTGCATTCACCAATTTGCAAGCGGATTAACAACGAATTCGAATAAGCCACACTACATACTTCCTAAGAGCATCAACAATTATTTTTGAAAAAAAAGAACATTTTTGTGAGCGGGTCTCCGGAAGGGCCAAGGGGAACGAGGGCTTCACCGAATTTGGGAGCTCCCGCAACAACCAGAGGGCGAATATTTGCGGGGCAAGAACACATGAACCACAACAACTAGGAGACTAGAGACTTCCCCTGCTCCGGGCCGACCAAGGACCGAAAGCCCAGCCCAGGCCAAACGGCTGCCCATGACACTACTGGGATTGTTCCATGTTTTAGAAGCAAGCAGAAGAAAACATTTTGCGTCAAAAAAAGTAGGACAAAAAAGTAGAAAAAAGATGCCGAAGACAACGCACACCTAGCTAACAGACAGAAAGACTGTAACCATGAAAGCACAAGTATATGTGGGGTGTCATCGAGGGATCATAATACCGGGAATTTGCAAGAAGACTAAGACACCACACCGGACTGCGTGCCGAGCCCCACGACACAACTCAGGAGCATCCACAACCAACGAGTGCAGTAAACACGAACCTTGACAGGGAGCTCCACCATGGAAAATCAGAATGATTAGCAAGCTGGGGAGACATCTTGCGCCATCAATGGGCAAAGATGAACTGAGACATCACCAAGAGCACGAACCTTGCCGCACCACCTTGGCAACCGCGGGAAGGGTCTTGAGCACAGCACCAGGGCGATACACCTTCGCGAGGGGAAACAGATGGCTTCCCTACGACGCAAAAAGCACCGCCGCCGAACCCCAAAGAACACCACCGAACAACCATCGTCAATCCCAAGCAGCCACACCACCACCACCATCACCACCGCTGTGAGCAACAAACACTCATCGACCATGCAGCCCTAATTAAAGATGAAGCCTTCAAGAAGGGCCATTCCGGTTATGACGGCATCATCCGTACCAAGAAGACATGGACTAGGGGTTCCCCCCGGGGTGCCAACGAGGAGGATTAAACAACATGACAATGATGCCTCCAAGAAGGTTAGCGATGCCCACGAGCGCCACCGTCGCAGGCTCCGAATAAAGCAAGGCTTTCTCCCTAGTTGATCGGACACCTCTCGAAGAAGCGGTTGAGTGACTTGGTCGCCCCTTATATTCTTGTCTCTCTTTAGGTTCAAGTAAGATTTCCTGCTACCTATTCTCCACTATGTTATTTCTAGGATATTAGGTGAAGCTTAGCCCCTATTTTAATCTTGAATATATTTTCTACTCTCTATGTTCCATCACCTGGTGGTTAGCGCAGGTTGGTTGGGAGCTGATACTTGATTTTCCACATCATCCTTAGTGTTAGCTTTTTCGTGCTCTGGCAACGTTGTTCAAGCCTTTCTCACGCACTGATGCGAGGATGATCTTGGTTGGTGTCATCTCTGGTTATCCCCCCGTGTCCCTATAACCTCCAGCTACGGATGCCTACTTAGAACTCTCTGGACTAGGTGGTTGCGTAGTGTGGTGACAAATGGATTGCTCATTGCTTCTTGATGGCATCTGCCAAATCAAGGGGTTATTTCTCCTACTTCATGCAAGTAGCTAATCAAGATTTTTGGCGTCGGGGGTCTCCAAAATCTAGTACCTATTCCATGGATCTTTTGGAGGCTTGTGGTCATGTTGTTGTTATTTGCTGGTGGCAGCCAGCACATCAGCGATGGCGTATGTGTCTATCGATAACAGTGAGAAAGGTGGAATGTGTCGTGATCTAGGTGAAAAGTTGTGATGCGTTTGTGTGCTCCTTTGTACTATTTGGTCACATGTGTCCCTTGTGCTTACACATGTATCCTTTTCTTTTTATGGGCTCCCACATGTTTGGTGGTGTTATACTCTAGCGATGGAGTCAAAAGTACTCTGCGGTGTATCAATTAAGCAGGAAGCTACGAAAAAAAACAATGTGCTTACATTCATGTTCCTCGATTTTTCTAAAAATAACATGGATCTGCAATGGTCAACCTTTTTATCGCACACTTGTAGGTACTTAAAAGAAAGACAACATTAATGTATGGATAAACTAGCAATAATTAAATTTATTAAGAGCACGACTTATATCTATACCATATAAGTTTGGGAATGGAAACCACAATGAGGAAGCATGTATAGTGTAGTGTGGCTGCCTAGGCAACTTTTCTTCTTAGATCTCTGCTCTAATCCTCACCCACCTCCTGAAAAAGTTTGGCGTGAGACACACACACACAGGAGTTTTCTTTCCCCAAAGGCCAGCCAAGATGCAGGGCGCCCCCGAGAGGAGGAGCAGGGCTTCGCCTGAAAAGGCCAACGAGAGCTCTAATAAGGCGCGGCTGGACCTTCCCGACGGCCACATGAAGCAAGAGGCGGCCGGTGGAGGAGATGGAGGCACCATCGTTGGGGCGGCGTACATCCAGCGAGTGGAACTCGCCGTGAGGATCTACAAGCAAGTCCTCCACTGCCCCCTGTGCACCCTCCCCTTCAAGCCTCCGGTCTTCCAGGATCCTCTCTCTGTTTCATTCTTTCTTCCTTGATTGGCGCCGGTGATAGATCTATTCTTTCGTGCTAATTTACGGGCCATCTCCGATTTGTGTGCCTGCCTGCAGTGCAAAGCGGGGCACTCGGCTTGTGGCGGCTGTGTTGCCCTGCTGCCCTTCGGGCAGTGCAAGGCATGCATGGACGGCGGCGGTTTCTTTGACCCCTGCCCTGCGCTGGACGCCGTGGTGTCCTCCACCAGGATCAGGTGCCCCAACGCCGGCTGCCAGTGGTACGTGACCTACCATGAGGTCGCCGAGCACCAGAAAGCATGCCCGCACGCGCCTTGCCGGTGCATTGAGCCTGGTTGCGGCTACGTCAGCGCGCCGCAGTCGCTCGCCGGTCACCTCCATACTGTCCACTTGGTGCCGGTGCGTGATGTGCAGTATGGCAAGGTCATCAAGCTAAATCTACCGGTGTCGACCAGGTGGATGGTGCTCCTCGGCGACGACAACTGCGTGTTCCTCATGATCGTGGGCGCGCTCGCTGCCGGCGTGACCGCCGTGTCTGCGGTGTGCGCCAGGGCGAGAGCGGTGGCGCGACCGCGGTTCATGTGTAAGATGTGGGTCAACCTGGAGACACCCTTGGTAGCAGTGGCGAACTGCGGCAAGGAGGACATGGTGCTCGTGGACATGCACATGAGGAGTAGCTCAACGCCCGGCGCCGTGGTCATTGCGGGCGAGCCCACGTTCCTGACGGTGCCGCCAATGTACCTGGTGCCAGCAGCAGGAGACAGAGCATCCATGGAAGTTCCCCTGCACATCCGCATCGATAAGCTCTCCCCTTGGTCTGAAACATTGGTGTGATTAGGTCCGCTGCTGGTGATGTTAAACAAACGATGCATTCAAAGGCAGTTCGTGCTTATTTTGGAGTTGCAGCTGAAACTATTTGCGTGATGTTAATTAGTAGATGCAGTTCATCATTAATGTCATTGTTGGTACTGTATTCAAATCAGAGGATATTATGCTTCGTGTTAATCATGTTGTGAAATGCATCTTCTTCCGTTGTTATGTCATTCAACCTTGCAAGCATTTCATTTGGATCTATTGCAATCTATATATCTGAAGTCAGGAGTAGAGCTCAATATCATCTCAAGAAATGTTATCACTGCTACCAAAGCGATGCTTAATGCGGGTTTACTAGAGAATAGTGAGGAAGAAATGAGGCCTTCTGTCAAACAAATCTGCCAAGCAGGATGCCTAGCCAATGTTCATGCAGCATAGAGAGTATAACCATGCAGCAATTCCTGATGAAGCTTCTCTCAAAGTCTTCCTAAGGAATGAATCAAATCCATCTCCTTCCAAAGGGGTAAACTTATCTCTCTACATTGTTTAAACTGCTAATAATAAAGTGTTAAGCCATATTTGAGGGCTGCAGTCTGCCAAAAAAAAGCTAGTAACTTCTACTACACAGGCCTTAATTCTTTTCTAGATGAATGAGCTTTCTGAGCAAAAAAATTAAAAATCCGTTTTCTAACGAAATAATCTTTTGATATTAAAACGGGAACAAGTCATCGAACACTATAAGTGTAAACCTCTATTTACAAATGGAATGGCGGCCGAGAGTTACCCTAGCAACCCATTGGTGTTGACTGATGGGCATGACATGCATTTGGACAACTCCCAACTTTTAGATCTGACTCACTGACATTTGATTTATTTTTTGGTTTTATTGAGAGTACGCTAGCTAATGGAGCATGAAAAAACTTTATTTTTTAGTCTTCCCTCTTGATTTTGTGCATGACGCATGTCACTGTATTTAAAACCGGGGTACCCTGAGCAAAACTACAACAGATGGACCTGCCCAAAAAGCCACCTTGTAAGGTTTTTAACTTCGGTCATGGAAATTTTTTGGACGTCACCGGAATATGCAAAATTTTGGAAATTCGGAACTTATTTCTGAATTTGAGTTTAACAAATCAATATTTTTTTAATGATTTTTAAGATAATTTATATTTTAGTTTGAATTTGGCTCAAAATTTCAGGGTTGCAAGTATTTCGAACCCCACTGAAATATGCAAAATTTTACTAAAATTTTGAACCCTCGGTACAATAAGAAACTACACCAAAATCATCTTCACCATTAGTACTACAACATCCAGAAGGAGCCAATGGCGTGACGGCATGCATACCTTTGTGTAGGTTTACTGCCAAGTAAATCTACCCTCGTTAAACCAGATCTACAAAAAAAGTCAGCAATGATGTTTTGGGACGGTGCTAGGTGTCCCGAACACGGGCCTCCTCAGCACACATGCCTCGCGTGCGGACAGCTTTCACAGAGGCCGTGTGAGGTCACGTTCCAGCCAGGCATTTAATGTGAGTTCAGGCTATGGTGCATAGCCTATCGCTGTCAGGGGTGACAAGTGTCGAGAAGTCAACCTCGATCATCGAGTATGACTTCCCACAGCGCCCACTCTCTCGGTCAAGGCTATGAACGCCACATGCTCCCGCATGGACTTCATGGAGTTGCTATTTCATGGGGACATCAGGCAACAGATATCTTTTTATGTTACAGAGTGCGATACTAAAATTTTCTATTTGTCTCACGCAAGCGTTTGATTGCTAATATATCCATCTGTTTTTCTCATGCCTTTTCAGAAATATTATTTATGGGTAATAGTATGATGCATCAAACATGCCATGTTCTATGTATTAGTGATTTATCTTTTTCTTGAACCTCGGTAGGATTTATTTCGGCAGCAAATTGATTTTGTTAATCCCCGATTAAGCCTTTCACTTACTATCTTTCTTGTAGGTTATGATACATTATACTCACTTAGGTGCAATTCCTTTCCTCTGACTTTGAAGTTGTGATGTTTCTGACAAGATTATATAAAAGTTTGCAATTTGCTCCATCCAACAGGCTATTTAAAGGTGCCCTTCCCAATAGGTCATTATATATCAGCTAAAATTTGAAGCCATCGACTGATATGTATTTAAAGAGTTTATGATATATATATACCCATCTTTAAATATGTTCCCTACTATTTTTGTTTTCCTATTAACTGATTCATGAAATGATTCCCTGAGGTGGCCAAATACATTACTTATGTACAATGCAGATATGTGCTTCAATTTTAACTGTTAACAACTGGAGACATTGATGTTAATTGTACTAATTTGTCTTAATTTTTTAGTTGTCGGAGCGCGTTTCTTGGCTGCTGGATCTTGCCCATTTAAGGAAGGCACGGTAAATTATTGTTAGACCTTGTTTCTTTGTTAGGTGCTTTTGTATCGCTTATTTATTCATACCATAATGTAGCAACATATATGAATAGATATATTTGTTTTCTTTCTTTTCCAAGAAGAACCGACACAAGAAGCTGAGTTCGCTGCTTTGAATCTTAAATAATTGTTTCCTATTAGTACAATACTTTGATGCTCCATTGGTTGTAGAACTAAATTATGTATTAGTTTGCATCCATGCAGTAGGAGAAATATCTTGAAAGCAGTTCACATCCAGTTAGCATTGATGGCTAGTGATAGCGATCGTGTCTAATGTGGGAAAGGTGATACATTCATTATTGGATGCGTCTAGTGGGCGGCCGGCTGCCCACTAGTGTGATCGAGCGGCCAGCCTAAATAGGAAAGTCCGTGCCCCCCGCATGGTACAGAAAAAGCAGGTACAGGCGACCACCAAACCGAGCGATGCAGCGCCCAATCCCGAACCGAAAAGCGATCCCCCACGGGGCCAGCTGTCCACAAGCTCGCTCGCCCCCACGTCCCAACCCCTCCCACGCCCGCTCGCCCCAGCCCCTCCCACGCTAGTTTCTTGTCCTCCACGAAAGAAAGGGATCCAAGGCTCCTTCTTCCTCCTCCTGTACAGCTGCCATGGCAGCAGAAAAGTAGAAGAATCTGCTTCAACAAATTGATCTAAAGGACATGGTGATCAGAGCCATACCAGGCAGCAAGATCAGGCAAGTACTTCCTCTCTGCCCCTCTTCAGTTCTCCCCCTTCTTGTACTGCATCTATAAACACCCTTCTCCATGGATCCATCAGCAAATCCATGGTGAAGCTGCTTCAAAAAAGGAGTGGATCTGCCACATCACCCCATTGTCAACATCACACCACCCCCACCCCCCATGAGTGCATCTGCACACTAACACACGGTTTGAGATCGAAACTGAACATGTTTTCTAAACATGCATGCCAGGCAAGTTTCCCCTGCCCCTTTTAGGTGTTCAACAAGTCAACTAAGACATAATTTTTGGCCAACTAAAACATGATTCAAGCCAACTGAACATGCATGCTGCCCAACTGATATATGCATCCTGGCCAATTGAAACGTCTATTCTAGCCAGCTGAACACATTGACTGTGCAACAGAACATGCATCCTGGCTAAACTGATATATGCATCCTGGGAAATTCAAACATCTATTCTAGCCAACTGAACACATTGACTGTGCAACTGAACATGCATGCTGGCCAACTGATATATGCATCCTGGGAAATTCAAACATCTATTCTAGCCAACTGAACACATTGACTGTGCAACTGAACATG